TTTGTTAAGACAAACAGATATGTATGCATAAAGCTATCATTCCACAACTTCAGTAAAATAAATATGGCTTCGATTTCTCCCCTATAGCGTTTTCCACATTGGCTCTCCTCGAGACGTACATTGGCTTCGGGAATGGAAATCTGACATGGTCCATAATGACGCACTGGTTCAAACTTCAATGAATGCGATTCTTGGAAGCAGGCTACAGGCGCCCCCTGGGCCAATGACAAACGTTCCTTTATTCGCACCAGTACAGGTGCCACAGCGATTGTCATGACGACCCTGGTTGCAACTGCAGGGAAGAAGTGCAGTGTTGTTACAAAGCGTTGACAGCGTAATTTGGGCGCGAAAATGATTAAAGTTGACGTCATTATTGTCTTGACGTTGCCGCACTGACACTACCTGGTGCTGTTATCAAACATGAGTGATCCTGAAGTTTCACCAAAGCATTTTTTGAAATATACCCCAAGGTGGGACACTTCCTTTAAATGTTATACCCACACCCATACCATGTCCGTCATTTTCCCAAGATATGCACCTGACCCAACCCTTGCCGATTCCAAATGAGTATCCGTGGGTTTACCCCTCCCGCGAAGTCCTCTACCTGAGTGACTTGAATGGAGCCAGAAAGCCAGTGACTTTCTGAGTCAAAATCAATGTCAGCCATTCCATGTAAATCTTAAGCGTTCTGTCGCTTCGATGAACGTCTCCATCGCTTAGACCTCTTACACATTTCCACATTAATAATAGTGAGCCACTCGTTAGCGCATAGCGTAAACAAACGAAAAAAATTGGTACGGAATTGTCGAGGCGCGGAGTTTTCAATAGCATGCCGAAATGGACGACAGCGGACCACACCGGTATCATAACGGTGAAATATCCGCTGATGGGTTAGGCCACGAGGGACGAACAAGAGCAGACCCTTGCTGGCCCGTACGGACCTGTTTATAACGTATATTTGAATAAGGAAATGATTCAGGGCATACCCACCGTCCATCGAGCTGTACTAACAATGTGATAGTAGAAAGCCCCAGCTTGTGGACGGCCCGAGATGGATGGCTCTTCAGGCGCCAGCTGTTTCGGTGCTAGTGTCACTGACGTGTACACGAACGACAGGCCATTTCGACATTTCAAATGACTGTATGTTGAATCTGTCACGTCCTTTTCTCTCAAGTATCAGCATAGATGGAATTGGAAGCAGAATAAACAGAGGCCACATGTCCGCGGAAAAAGAACACGTGTTCTCCACGTAAGCGGTCACCAGTATGCTTCGACTAAGCGGTGTGTAGTTTTGATGGTGTTAATTCCGGCACTTTCAACATGTCATGAACGTCATACATCAATCAATATATGAGTAATGAATCTCAGCTACTTAATTCGAACCTGCTGCACGTCATAGCTAAGCGCACCTGTTCGGCCAGCTAACCCGCCCATCTGTCCCGGTAAGAGCCCGCTGTCTGGAGCCCGGCTGCCAGCCAGACTTGGCAGGCTTTTGCGAACAAAACATTTTCACAAGGGACATGGCACGCTTGTTGTTAGAAGTAGGCTTTAATAAATTTAAAAAGTAAGAGCGCAATGCCACGCTTGACACAATTAACAAAATAATATTTTTCTCATTTAGTCTGACAATGGTCGAAGTGACAGAAAGCGGATGGCAGACATAACACACCAGCAAACCAGGGGGTTGCACAACTTGAACAATTTTATCCAAACATCTCACCAATAGAATCCAAAATAGCTACCTACATTTCCAAAGCATCGCCTAGGTACATCTAGTTGAAATCAAGTGGGTCGTTTATATAAAAATAGCTAAAACTGTACTCTGCTGTGGTTGTGAAGATGAGGTGCACTTAATCTTATCTGTTTCACACACACTTCATACCTTAGACTAAACATACGTGATTCACGAAATGACAGGGAAACTGCGTTACCATCGTGGCCTTAGCCCCGTTTACTGACCAGTATAACTCGCAATTACTGATGTATGACATGGGCAACAAATACCGAAATCTGTGTAGGGGTAATTTACAGCTTGTGTACATTTGATGCATTTTCATGCATACAAGAATATGCAATTTACGACCACCATAACAGGGACTCTTACGCACAACACGTTTCACTCTTACTGCGATCGTCATTAACTTGCAACGTATATGTCTCATAAATAGTTTTGTACTGTATGCTCCCGACATCTCTTCCGTTATCTGTGTACTGGCGTGCATAACTAATTCCATTTCAACGACTATGACGTCAATAACATTTTCGTTCCAGTTCCGAAAGTTTTAGTCAACAGGATGGCTGAACGAAGACTTAAGACATGCTCTGCACTTTTTGTTTCTATAGTAATGTCACTTAGGCATTTCACAACATCGCACGTTTTTCGTGGCATTGCTAGGAGTGCACGGAGTCACCTGAGTGGCACAAACGGCATCCCTGGACAGATGTTGTTAACATCCCTGCGAGTAGTTCCACGAATAGCGCGGCGATAGTCGTTCTAAAATGTAACATGGATAGTGGCATGTGTGAAAGATGAATCATTTCCCAGCTGCCGTGCAGTTTTTATTCTGTGCTGTTGTGTGTTGTATCTACTTGAGAAAACAAACGTCGCGTGATAGCCTACGTTTCGTGAATTCGGGCCTATGACATCGCGGGTATTGGGACGCACTCGGCTGCTGTGAGGTAAACAAATTGAAAATATATCATACTAGCAGCCGTATTGCAAATTCCTCAACTTAACTAAATATGTGTGTTGTTTGTGCTTGCCTACAATGTAGTGAAGTGCGGAGACCTCTCACGACCTGAGACATTCAGCATTTCTTTGCTCTACAAAGCTGTCAGTTGACGCAGGCAGCTTTAAAGGACTTAACGTATGGTTTCTGCGATGAGGAGCATGGTGAAATTTCTGATGCATTTTTGGCGAGGAGTCCACTTAAAATTCCATTCCCTTCCACTCTTATTTGTAGTCCGAAACTGGCGTCACAATGTTTAAGATGGAATGCGGAACTACAGAAACGCCATAGTTCAGGTGCTTTTGTCACTGCTGTTTCAGCCCTACCACAGACAGGCAAATAATGTAATGCATTAGACGACACTCACATGTCATAGTTCATGCACATTTCATGCATAGGCCTAAAATCATTAACAGTCACCACATCCAGATTGCCCTCAAGTTATACCTACAGGCTGATGCCAGGTCGGCATGGTAGCCCGGTAGACTTTCCCGGGCTAGGCCAGGGCGGGGCTGGACGCGGGCCGGACGCGGGCTGACATTTTGAAGCTCCTCTAATCAAAATCCTAATGAGCTTCGAAAGGGAAGCGTCAAACGTGCCAGTAAGCTCTCATTAGTCGAGGTGTGTGGTGTGGCCGGCTGCTGCAGGAAGACCGGGTGGCTGGGACGGTAAGCGGGGAAGCCAGCGAGTGAGGGTGTTTCGTTCGACACGTGCGGCAGCCTGGTGGACGTGACCGGTGTCATTGAACAATGCGACGCCGAACAATGCGCTTTGTGCCGAGCTGACCCCAAACAGGCGAGAAAGTTTTTAGACTGGGACTTGAACTTCTTTATTGAGCAATGGCTTACGACAAAAGGATTCAGCTTGACAACGTCTTCCAGGGATAGGCTTCGAAACCGAGGGGTTCAAATTTCCGGCGTTCGAATGAAGCAATCCCGTTTCAAAACTCGCTCAACAAAGCTTTCTTAGTCATTGCTAGCCCCGCACACATAAAGTACGCTTGACGCCTTTACATCAGCAAGCGACATTATCTTCGTCACAACTCCATTGCGTGAAGTGTATTTCGTTGATCGACCTTATTTATCATAACCATCTTTCATACTTGCAGGGTCCACGGCTGGCAGCTGCCGCGTCAGAGAAGCAGAGCGGGGGAGAGGAAGGGCCGGCCTCTGCTGGAGCGGCAACTGACAGATCCAGCGCCCACCTCTCGCTCCTATCATTCCGCGTCTGAATGGAGAGGCACCGGGTCGAGGTCAAGCCAATGGAGCAAAAACGTCCATTCCGACGGCGCGGCACCACGCTAGCTCCAGCTGACAGTGGTCAGCGGTTAGTGTAGGGTGCGGAACCACGCTAACTCCAGCTGACAGTGGTCAGCGGTTAGTGTATGGTGCGGCACCACGTTAACTCCAGCTGACAGTGGTCAGCGGTTAGTGTATGGTGCGGCACCACGCTAACTCCAGCTGACGGTGGTCAGCGATTGGTGTGTGGTGCGACACCACGCTAACTCCAGCTGACAGCGGTCAGCGATTAGGCCCGCGCAGCGCCGTTCGGAAACCATTCCGGAAGAATCTTCTGGGGGAGGGGGGGGGGGGGGGAATTGAACCGTGTTAAGGTACCACATCAATGGCAGCATGGACAGCACTAACTGTTTTGTCGAGCTGGATCTGCCTTTCTTTGTTAGCTTGTTGCGTCAAACAACGGAAACACGTCGCCAATATGCGCCAGTCAGCGCTAGCCTGACAACGCCTCACTTGCATTTATCTGAGGAATCTTGCAAAGTAGCCACTTCAACCAGATATGTTAAGTAGCCATTTCACTAGCCGCAGCCCCTGCCCGACACAACTTGCCTCACTCGTCGGTATGCAGTGGTTGGAATCGTGGCGCCTGACCTATTTTGCGCCATTCTTATAGTAGCAAGCTGGTTCTCATGCAGCAGTAAATGCCTTGGTAAAACACTGATTCAGGGAAAGCAGAAATTACTGAAAAAACTTCCAAACATCTTTTCCCCGGAAGGCAGCCGTGAGATGTCTGAATGCAACACAACGTAGATCCACACCCAACATTCCTAAACACGCGCGAACTTTCCCTTGCATTCACACCTGCTACCAACGCCGCATCTAGCTCCACAGCCCGAGGACAACTTCTGCTTAAAACATGGTGCGCTTGCGTTATCGCCATGGCTGGCGGGGCCGGGGTGGACCGAGGCGCAGGGTGACCTCCAGAAGACCGTGTCACTTTTACTTGGTCGGCGCGCCGCGGCGGACGCAGTGTGCCACGGAGGCGGCGGCGGGCTGCACGTGAACGGCGCGGAGTAGCGACAGAGAACGCCCGCCAGTCGTGGACCACACTTACTGGTCTCGGAGAGCGCTCGCCGACCTTGGAGAACGCCCGTCGGTCTCGGATCACATCCAACAGTCTCGAAGCACACCAAGCAGTCTCCGAGCACACTCAGCGGTCTCGGAGCACACCTAGAGGTCTCGGAGCACATCCAGCGGTCTTGGAGCACACCCGGCGGTCTCGAGGCACGCCCTACGATCTCGGAGCACGCATTACGGTCTCGGAGCACGTCTGATACGTCAGCCGCAAAGCACGTCTGATCCCGGCCAGCGGCGAGCAGCACTCGCACCTGCCATGAAGGTGAGTTGGTGGACCGGCGGCCGTGGTGGCGGCACATGGTGCGTTACTGCCCGGCTGAGGTAAGTATGCAACGAATCCAACGGTTCTTGAAGGACAACATTCACCATTTATCACCACACCACCCGAAAAACTTATGGGTTATAAAACTGCACTACTCTGGTGACTTGGCATTGATATGCAGGCCGTGCATTTCCACTTCCAGAAAGAGAAAACAAACACCATTTAACACCGTTATTGTTAATCCCGTTACCGAACACCGATTCGGTGATGTGCGCGCGTGCGTACATGTGTGCGCGCGTGCGTACATGTGTGCGCGCGTGCGTACATGTGTGCGCGCGTGCGTACATGTGTGCGCGCGTGCGTATATGTGTGCGCGCGTGCGTACATGTGTGCGCGCGTGCGTACATGTGTGCGCGCGTGCGTACATGTGTGCGTGCGTGCGTGCGCGCGTGTGTGGTGATTCGGCCACGTAGTCGCTGCAGAATCAGCTGACGCAACGCCGCTCATTTCTAAGATGCCCACATAGCATCACACGTGTAAAAATAGGAGGGCTTTACCATTGTATGACAATGACATACTGCATAACATTAGCCAGCTGGGTACGTGGCATGTGCATGCATTTGCGAGCGGATTGATGTGATCGAATGGTTCTCCTCAGTAAGTACTGATATTTTCGACATAAAGTGTGAACTGCTCAGATCATTCCATGAGCAGTGACATATCCCTAATATTTCTTTGTCTTATCTGTAGCTGATCTTAATGCGCAAGGCCGCATCCCATGTCAGGAAGGAAACCCCCTGCAACCCGGTTAACAAGTGGACATTGGCAAAATGAGCTCATGTATCTGTCTAGGTGACACAAGAGACTATCGGCGCCATTTCTATTTGTTTGCAAATATCAAGTTGACCAAGAGGCATGCAATGCCGCAGTCGCTGATGCGAGTTACCCTGTCGAATATTCTGCGTCCGCTTATTTCCCCCACTTCACGTAGCGGCCCCCTTCTCACAGCTGCAGAAATATGAAGCCAGTTAGCGAGCACGCCTGCAATCATGGATGATGGCCGCGGGGATGGGGACACAATGACTCTGTTGAAGGCGCATGCAGCAGCTTCGTTCACGGCGTACACACAGTGTTCAGCTTCTTTAATCGCGCCTCAGCGTGGCAATGGTGCGTCCTTGCCAACGCTCCATTCAGAGCCTTTCATCCGAACGGTGGCAGGTTTCCTACTCGCGCCGGCTTGTCTGCATTGCCCAATACGGTAACCAGTCGCACGGCAGGAGCCGGCTTTCAGGAAGCAGAAGAGCGGGGACCATCTGTTGGGCCTGCTGGCAAGCGTCCTGGCCTGGCCCGCTGTCACCACAGCCGCGTGCTGCGTGACTACCACAATCACGCGTGACACGGGACTGCGGCGGGACGATCACCCCCAGGGGCGCAGCGTTGCAAAACTCATCGGGCGGGGGGGGGGGGGGGAGGCTAACGGAACATTGGTTTAAGTGTACCGCGAAATACATTTAACACCTTTTCAAAGTTAAAGACTCGAACTTTCCAACATTAATAGTAAACTACGCCCCTGGTTGGCTTCTGTCACAGTGTCGCAATCAGGCGCCGTCAAAGTGTGACGATGGGCTCCTACCGCAGTGTGGTGGTCGGAGAGTGCTAAAATGTGACGCTGTCCAACTGCTGCAGTTTGGCAGTTGGGAGGTGCTACATTGCGACGGTCGGCTAGACAACCCAAACATGCACACATATCTTTCCACCCACACATCCGCACAGATCACTGAAGCTCAGAAGTACATATACATGTACGCATTCACGTCTTTCCAGCAGGCACCATTCACGATGTTCACCATCTCGCGGGTATGCGATAAAAAGTGGCAATGATGGTCGTTTCGAAACGGGGATGCGGCAGTCGGACATTGCGGATCCAAAGTGCGCCGTGTAGTGGGTGTTATGGCATGTGTCATAATGTTAAGTGTTATAATGTGAAGTTATGTGTCCGTATGCATTAAGAGCTGCGATGACGGTGTAGTTAAAACTGGACATGTTATGCCAGCAGTCTGCTTGAGCCGCTTCTACTTTCAATGCGTTGTTATGATTGCCGGCCAAACTGTGGGTATTGCTGTATAGTGGGTACAAAGTAAGGCGTAAAAGTATTATTTCAGAGTGCTAAGCACCTTCGCCCCCCCCCCCCCCGTGGGAAGCCTGGGTTCGAATCCCGGTAGAGCCATAACTGCTGAACGCTAATGTGATCCCTGCACTCCTGACGCTCGAATAAAGGGATCACAACGACGTGCGTCGCATTTCCTTGAAATAGCGACTGGCTTTCCCTTTCAGCAGGTAACACGATGCGTTTCGTTGGCTTCCTTTTATGGTGCGCCAGTGGCTTCAGCAATCATGTCAGCGTTTAGGGGCCATGGCTCCCCCGAGATTCGAACCCTGGTCCCCACATGGGTGACGAAGGTGCTAACCACTCGGCAATCACGCTTCCCTTGATAAAGTGTTAGGATGTGGTCAGCTGCGACGACGACATCGGTAAAAGTGGACGTGTTCACCAACAATTTTGAGCGGCTGCTTCTATACGCATTGACTTAGTGTGACGATTGGCCAATACACAAGAACATAGCATAAATTACAGACCCGTAAATTAGACATGAACATGCTGATCCACAGACCTCTGTTGCAGAAAAGACTATAGTAAAGTCTATTATGGTCGGGTTTAGTCCACTTCAGTCCAATCTACTTAATAAAAATGCATAGAAGGTGCGTAACGTGTGAATGGTGACATGACAATGATCTTCGTTTTCTTGTATTTGTGCTGGGCATCCACTGGTCCAGTTTGTAGTTGTTTTCTTTTGGGGGGGGGGGGGATGAGGGCCTGTTCCCTTTACCGCGCATGTGGCTTAGTGTTTACTTGACCACTCGCAATGCATACCAACTCGGCACAAAAGTTGCGTTTACTTTCCCTTGTCTTCGTAGTCTGGGATACTCCTCGAAACAAATCAGACCAAAATTTGTACCATATCCACGAAGAATCACAGGAATTCAGAAACTAAATTGCGATGAATCAGGAGAAGAATTTCAGACATTCACACGTGATATGGAGATGAGTCCGTCTACGCGTATTCACCAAAAGCTCCAAAGTTCTCGCGTACTGCACCACCCAGCTCATTTATGAGACAGGAGCGGCAGCACTGGTGCGTCACGGGGAAAGGGGCTTTAGCTACCCGAGGCGCCGACGATATGGCGTCATTGACCACGGTAACATGAATAGAGCGTCATCTGGGCCAGTGACGACACCAGCCCACGTCAAGGGCGCGCATTTACGAGCGTCACTAGCGCTTTCGGTGACGCGGATGATTCTGAGGACAAGCGCAGCTCAACCTCACAAGCGCTGACTAGCAGGGTCTATTTCAGCGGATCAGCTGGGAGAAATACCGGCCAGTGGTAGCTCAGTCCCTTCCACCAGTAAGCTGCAAAATCTCCCGGGGGAGCGTCACTCCTCCAACAGCCCGCGCCTCAGGGTATGCCTGTGGCGAGGCTTTGAAAATAACACGAACGGCAGATGACCGATATTGAGGGCTCTCCTGCGTGCTGAATGTCAGCAGGTTAAAACGTCCGTCAGTTGAGACCTAATTGACTTAGATGGGTGCAAAGATTAAGAACACGGCATCCACCAATGAAGCCTTTTCATGCTTGTGACAATTCTAGTTGGACTTCATTCTGATCAGTTCAATGCCATTAACTGGTGCAATTACGCGTGAAATAAAAAAAGACCGCATACGAGGAATTTGGCTGTCGGACCCACGTTAAGAAGAATGCCAATTGTTCACATGTCCGAGATCAAATTTGGACACACTCAAAACACATCTGTCCGGCCTTTAATTGCAAGACGTACGCCATGCGGCGCGTCGTAAGCCGAAGGTCAGTGAAGGTCAAAATTGTCCAATTTTGCTCACACACACAAGTTAAACACGACCCATACCCTTTGGAAATTTTTTTGGGGGGACTTATTGGTCCTTTGGAGCCGCGGGTCCGTGCCATCGTGGTATATGTGGTATCGATTAAATAAGTTTTACCAGGCCCTTGGCGACCGAAGTTACCATCGTCGGAACAACCCGCTGCAGCGGCTGACCGCCGGGCAAAAACAGCTGGTAAGCTTACCGGCAACACATCCCGGCACATCCAGCGAACGGTAACCAGTCTTCCCTCCCCTCTCTCCCTCCGTCCTGACCAAATTCACATTAACTGAGGTCAGTTACATTTGTGAGCCAGGCAATTGGCGATTTTGGGCTATCAAGTGGCACAGACCTATCCGATACCTCCGCCTGTGTGATATAGCCTTCCGATTTTGAGACAGTGGTTTTAGGCTCGCGAATGGTTCTTCACCAAACAGTGACATTGCCAGTCGGGTTGCTATCATGTTTCGTCACTCCATGGTAGAGCCTACCCACTCTTGACAAAGCATACCCCCACTTACCAACAGCAACCAGCCGTCGGGCGGGGGCCGCCTCGGCCGCTCGCCGTTTCGCCACCCCAGCACGGCTGGGCGTGAGACCGGGGGCTTGCGCCAGAGGCGTCATGTCACGTGCCAGTGTCCCGCACGGACGTGGGACTGGGTACATACGTCAGAGGCGTCAGGTCACGCGCCAGCATCCCGCGCGAGACTGGGGAGAGGGACATACGTCAGAGGCGTCAGGCCGCACGTCGATGTCCTGCGCGGGCGTGGGACCGGGGACAAACGTCAGAGGTGTCAGGTCACGTATTAGTGTCCCGCGCAAACGTGAGGCCGGAGTCCTACGTCGGAGGTGTCAGGTCACGTATTAGTGTCCCGCGCAGACGTGAGGCCGGAGTCCTACGTCAGAGGCGTCAGGTCACGCGTCGGTGTCCAGTGCGGGCTGGCGGAGACCTGCCGTGTGTGGCGCCGAGGGCTGGGATGTCAGCACGGTCACGCCCATACCAACATTGTGGGGACGCGCACATCACTGGCATTACCTCGCTAAGCGTCACAGGCAACGTGCTCAACCAAGGTATGTCACATATTTTGATCGGGACTTCGTTTCTTAGATTTGTGTTGTGTGTTCGCCGCTACGCCACCAGTTGAAGAGGGCGAGGGAGTATTAACGCTCCAAGTCTTCGAGTGTTATGGTCCATAACTGGGACCGCTGCTAGGGAGCCTGACCTGTATTTTAAACGGGAAGTGGTTAAGAAAACAGTGCATGGTGGGTGTTTGGTCAACATTCTGAGCATGCTGTACCGCTTTAATACCGCATACAAATCTTACAGCGAGTCTTTCGCCTGAACCTGAGCGCCCGAGTCCACAGGCTGCTGCATTTGGTTACATAGCAACCTTCCCCGCGGGGGGCCAAACCATGTTTGGTGATCACAAGGGAGTCTCTCTGACACATTGCGTTGCGACTTTTTTAATGCCGCCAGGCCATAGCTAAGATCACTTTTTTACGCGCACATAATAATGATATATATATATATATATATGCATATCTCTCTCTCTCTCTCACTCTGTATGGAAATTTATGCATATATATATATATATATATATATATATATATATATATGTATATACATATGCATATATGCTCGGATGCCTCTTTGAAAATATGTACATCTGTTGACTGGAGATTCGTGTCCCCAGGAACCTTTACCTTAAACCGCACATTTACTTCATATATGTCGATGACATATCTGTTGGTGTCAGAGACGAGGCCATCTCCGCCAACTGCAGGCCAGCATACAGCAGCAATCGTCATTACGATTTACGACTGACCTGAATGTCGACAGCGATTTAGTTTTTCTTGACATCCACAGCAACGACGTTCCGGCGAGCAACGGGTCTTTCGTCACAAAATTGCCCGTGAACCTACTGATGCGGACAAATGTACGAACGCAGCTAGCGAACGCTCAGAGCGTTACCGCACGGCCGGCATTCGCTCGTTTGTACGACGCGCCCTAAAATATTGCTGCGGCTGGTCCACCACACATCACAAACCTGAACGTTGCAAGGAATTACTTGTTAAGAATGGCTATTGGAACAGGGCCATTGGCGAAAAGATTAAGTCCACCTTGAATCGACGAAACCAGAAACCAGTCGACACGAAACCGGCCCATGAACTTTTCATCGAAATCAAACGTCCCCGTCTTATAAAGCGGATGGAAAGCTTTTGCGAAACAGAATCAAGACAAATATCCCAAATACCGACGAAAACACTGAAATAAGGTTTACCATCTATTACCAGAGCAGAACAACCAGTAGCCATATAATGAAAAACAGCCTGATAGCGGACCAAAAACCAGCTAAAGATGTCCTTACGGAGATTGCCGGCTCCGCAACTTGTTTTGTATGACCGCAGCATCCCTAACATGACGCATGACTGTGAGCCTCCAGGAGGGAGTGCCAGACCAAAATATGTGCAAAACCCACGACCAAAAACTCCTACGCTCTGGCCTGACTGAAAACACACGGATTCTACAATCATGTCCGAACAAACGCCGTCTACAAGTTCTTGAAGCCATCCTCATTAGAGAAGGAATGCCTGACTTGAAAAACAACAACTTAAGTCATGCGTTACTTTGGACCTGTTCAGTCACCCAATGGCAGCAGGGTGGGTCGATGTCTTTACCGTTACGCAATGGCGTCGTGCTCTCTGTCTATGGTTTCGCCGGAGGAAACTTTGACTTGTTTCAAGTTTCCTCAAATGGTCAAATGAAATAGACATTACGTGATCGTTTGTGATAGTCGAACCAGATTCCAATGATTGCAGTAATTATGTTTATATATGTGCCCAGGTCTTTTACCAATCAACATCAGGTGCAAAAGAGCCAACCAACCGTCTAAAAAAATAATTAAAAACGCTTAGATTAACCGCACTAAGCAATAAGCAGCCGAACTGCACTGCACGTCCCGAAATTCTACCGCAAGCCTCGGCCCTCTGTGTCCGCTAAAAACAGCCATTACTCTCTGACGAAAAGGGCACGTCAGCATTACTCCAGCTCGCAGCCTCGCCCCCTGCCATGACTTTGACGCCACATCCCAGGCACACGGCTGTCCGACGCCTCGCAACAGGCGCCCAGACAGGCGATCCATTCAGCACGCGCCCGCATGCGGCAGCCATTGCCCACACCGCCGGCCCGAAGTGTTCGCTCCGGGCGCCGCGCCGCGCCGCGCCGCTTCGGGAGATAGCGCCCGCCTCCAGGCGCCTCGCAGCTCAAGGACGAAGAACAGGAACAGGTATAAGGCGATGAAAGTGTCCGCAAGATTGCCGCGCTCCTTTCTTCGGCGCATGTGCGGCCATGTCTGACAATACGCCGGCCGGAAAAGAGATCATGACGTTTGGAAGGATCCGTACATTTGCCACCCGCGTTACGGAAGCGAGAACGCACGTACGCCTAATCTTCCTACGCAGCTTACGCAATAGCGAAAGTCCTTACATTTTCCGCACGAAAAAGTCCCTGTCAGTGTGGGAGAGCCATTCCATGGAGTGCTAGATGTTCTTTGATGCCCATGATCGATAGGCAGGAATAATATTGGGATATGTGAGCACCGCATGAAAGGTGAAACAATCTGTTCATAACCTAGGTCTACTATCATGCGTACCGCATCGCGTATACGTACTATCAAACCACAGGAAATCAAGTGCGAGTCGTTGCCTGCACCAACGAGCCGCCATCCACTTGGCGGTACCTGGATCAAAAGGGAAAAGCCAGGACGTCAAAGAAGAAAAAGACGAATGTGAAAAAATCAAGCGGAAAGCAGAGGAAAGTGATGAAGGTCGGGAAAAAGCGCTGGCCGCCGCTGGCCGTCGTCGACAGAGCTGGCCACCGTTGCCGGCTGCCTGCTGGCTGACGGCGCGTGGCGGAGGCGGTCGCCGCAAACGGCGTCCATTCACGCGTGGGAATCAGCGGCGGCTCGCCTCTGTGGGTCCGCAGTCTGCGCGGTCTGTGATCGGTCAGCTGTGCTGTGCGCTGGACTGGCACGGCACAAATTAGGATGGACATGAACTTATGTGAACGGCAAACAAAGCGTCTTTTTTAAATGTGTAAAAATAATTAACATTCTGTATGTTCACCAGTCATTCCCCACTTGCTGAAGGCTGAACGATGTCCTTTTGATTAATAACATCACCACTGACGCTGACCATGCGTCCAAAGAGTGGCGTTCCGCGCGGTCCTCTGGGCCGGTCAGAGGATGAATTATTTGCCGCCGGCGGCCGCGGCTCCAGTGAAAGGCGAGCAGCTGCCCGCCAGCCGCGATATCCGCCCTCCGGGTTGCCGCCACCAGGCGAGAAGGCAATGGGTCAATGGCGCGTAAAGCCCTCCCGCCGCCTGGCAGATCGGCGCCCCACGCCGCGGGCCGGGACCATACGGGCGCCTGGCGACGGAGGCGGCGCGCCGGGGCTGTACACCTGCCGGCGCGGACGCGGCGGGCGGCGCGTGAAAGCCGCGCTGACCGTGAACGTGTGGGCTGATCCGGCGCGAGCGGCGCGAGCGGTCGCCGACGAGCGCCGACGGCGTGTGAGCGGCGGCGGCTCGGTGCTGTGGCGGCAGGCCAAGCCCGCCCAGCCCCACACTGGGACACGTGACGACTGCTCAGCAAGTGAGGCTCCTTGCGGTTGTGAGCGTATACATTACATTGGTGACTGTTGAAACAGGTGGGTGCAAGCCAAATCACATGCGTCATCCAAAAAAAATGAAAATAGTGTTAGCATGTGGGATGCTGCCGTCATGAGGGTGCAAAATAAATGATAGAGGGGCTGTGCAGCGCGGGCTCGAGCGGTCCGCGACTCCGGGTCCGTGTCCTTTCATCTGTGATGTGTAGCACATGAAACTGTGGAGCCTGTCCGCCACATCCTGTGGACCGCTGCATCCCGCCGACGCAGGACTACGAACGGCTTATCATAATCCTGTATCGCAGAGGCAGGGTATTCGTAAACGATCACTGCCAGTCCAAGCTGCTGCTAGGTTATTTCATAGCCTACTAAAAAAAAACAGCAAAAACAGCATGCTGAGTTCTAAAACTCTGCGCAAAAACCTGCATATTTGCCTTTTCACCTTTACACTAGCATTGGAGAGCTTGCAAACCGAAAGTCATCTGGGTGGGAGCACTAGCGCAACTAACGTGTTCAAATACCATGTTCTGCAATCGACACAGGGTGTGCAAACCGCTCTGACGGCTAGCAACAAGTGCCCAAGTGCAGTGTACTAGTGACCTGTTCTGGGCTTATCGCTATGCTCCACCCACCGCTGACGGTATTGCACGCTGTGAATACTGGCCGGAACTCTTCGGGCTTTGGCCCTATGGTCTCAGGCCATCACCCTTTGCCCATGCATTCCTCCGTCCGTAATCTGCGAGATCCCCTGCATCCAAGCAGAGGCCATCTAATGGTATACCCCCAAGCTGCAAACCATGATATTCCGAGTCTGGTGAGCCCCCGGGCCGTGGCCGACCTGCTTCCTGACCACACGTGCTCAGGTGTTTTGTCCGTGTGTCCCTGGTCCCGCCTGACTCCGTCCACCGACAGGTCGCGACCGTGACCCGTGTGGCCCCTCTGTCGGTCCCGGTTGTGACCCGTGTAACCTCGTCTGACCGCAGGTGGTTCGGCTGCTGGTGGTACTGGTGCTGGTAGTGCTGGCGGTGACGGCGACGGTGGGCGCCGCCCGAAGGAAGCGGTTCCGCTCGGTCATGCCGCGGGCTATGCGAGCCATCAGCCGCGTCGGCAAGGGCTCGCACTCCCGGGAGCGTTTCCTGGCTATCCCGCAGGTGCCCTACCCATACTATCAGAGGTACGAATGGCCGGCCGGACACGTGGCCGCGAGTGACTTTGTGCACTGTTGTGGGGGAGGGGACTAACCCGCACAGGTGCCGAACAAACCAGAGTGGTCTACACAGGAGCAGGGAGCCACAGACTGCGGGTTTTGCGGGTCTTGGGTGCAAATTTGGGAGTCATCCCATTCCATTTTGTCATGTTTCATTTCGTCATCAGGTCATTTCGTTGATGCCATGTTTGACTGGGTATCACACATCGAATTTGCGTCTGTGATAGGAAGCCTGCGGCTAAATCTGCCGGGCGTGTGATCAATTAGAATTAGCTGTAATATTGTTTCAAAGGGAATGCTCCACATTTGAAGACGCTGAAGCAAGTATCAGATATGATGAAACAAGATCACTTATAACCATTGATATAGTTTTAAATGGAGAAGACTGCTCTAAACAACACAATTTCTTTATTAAGTAAATATGCTCCCTAACACGTCATTGTTTGATTGTGTCATCGTACCTTGCACAGCACTCAAGAGCCAATTGACGGCCGTTATATCTGGAAATCGTGCTCACGAACGCCGGGCATGAACGGCTCGACAATTCTATTGTTATTGGCCTTGATCGCCGCTTGGCCAATGAAATGGCAGGATTTCAATGGCGTTTTATGGCGTCATAGATGCCTGGGTAACCTTCAAATACTTTGCATGAAACAGTTTGCATGCACATTTTCACAGGCGGGTAGCTCAGGAACTAGAACGGTTTAGGTTTTAAGAAAGGCAGGGCTGTGAACTGCACCCAATGATCTCCAGATGGCCTTTTTCAGTTCCAAACCAAAAAAAGGGAAAAAGACGATTTAATGATATTGGGGCAGAAGTGCTTCTATTATGTGCTAAGCTTTTAACTTAAATTGTTTCATTTGTTCCCGCTTACTCCAGCACTTGCCGCCAACGTAAGCAGCGACCGTTGCAATGTAGCCGGATGTCGACATCCCCACAACAATTTGTCGTTCGTAACAATAAGACACCCATGCGCCTCTGGGTGTGTCAAATGCATGCAATAAATAATACTACCATTTGGACTGAGTAAAGGATATTACACAAGGTGCTTTCTATTGAATGCGGTCAGAAACACCGGTTACATAACTAGTAGCGCGAATAAGCCATTACGAAACTGACTCATTTTTTGGTTAAAGATGACAGACATCCTGTATAAAACTGTCATTAGGATGTCAGTGGCGTGCAAATGGCTTAATCGTTGATCATAAGCAGGTATCGCATGAATGACAAAGTGACGAAATATTCCGTGTAAGTCAACTATCCTGATACGGCTGCCAAAATAAATCAAATAATGGAAATAAAAAACGTTAAGTCCCATGATCATGCTTACCATATGATCATCAACGCAAGCGATGGTGTCCCAAAACTATTCACCTTTAATTCGCAATACCAATTATTTGGAACGTTAGGCGGCCTTCCTATCAGGTAGACTTCGGCTCGTACATGATATATGCATTCGTGTTGCATTTATACTTTACGTATCATGCTACGTCTAAGTGGTGCGTCCTTAAAGCGAGCGATTGAACCGGATGTTGCGTATGCGAAACGTTCATTCACATAATATGTTGTAATATTTAAAAGGCAGTTTCCGAAAATTACCATCTCGGGAATGGATGACAGGGTGATGGGTATGAAGCGCCCTCGACAAATATATGAAGTCATGAAACGTTGACTCTGAGATGCCCGCTGTCCATAACTTCCCGACCTTACACGCTGACCCCGAGATGCCCGCTGTCCGTAACCTCCCGACCTTACACGCTGACTCTGAGATGCCCGCTGTCCATAACCTCCCGACCTTACACGCTGACCTTGAGATGCCCGCTGTCTATAACCTCCCGACCTTACACACTGACCCTGAGATGCCCGCTGTCCATAACCTCCCGACCTTACACGCTGACCCCGAGATGCCCGCTGTCTATAACCTCCCGACCTTACACACTGACCCTGAGATGCCCGCTGTCCATAACCTCCCGACCTTACATGCTGACACTGAGATGCCCGCTGTCCATAACCTCCCGACCTTACACCACACGGCGCTGCCTCCAGGCCGAAGTACCGGTACCCGTTCTACGACCAGCACGGCAACGGGCACTTGCTTTACGGCTACGGTGACAAAAGGCTCTACAGCTACACAAAGTTCAAGCCGCTGGAGGGCTACAGCAAACGGCGCTAGAGGCTCCACTGCCAGGACACCCACACGCAGCCATCTAGTCAGGCAGGTGAGCGCCCGCCCATCTCGGCTCAGGCTCCAGAGGGCGAGATTTGGAGCCACTTGCGGAAGAACGATCTCTAACGGCGTTGATCCAGCTGTTCGGGCATAAGGCACGCCTTTCGAACTACAGTGGATGTGTTGTGAGCATTGCACAGTTGGCAAGCATACTCGTGGGACAGGCGGCATGCAAAATAGTCTCGATCAGAAACACTTTCAACTTTCTGTTGACTTTAGCGTGCGAGCATCAAATCAACATCCACTGGATAACCGTGAAGCTGGAGCATCACGCATCGCCTTCACCCACTTCAGCCGCTCATCTGGTGGAACTAACGTAATGGTTCGTCACGATATCCCAACGCGTGTCAGCGATTCCCTTACACAACACAGCAGTCAGTAGCATTATTGCGAAAGCAGGCATTTGCGTGTACACTTCCGAAACGCATCACCTCAAGCATCGGTGGCTAGCGCGCCGTTTTTGTAACATGTCGCATGCGCTGGCTGTGCCACAGGGAGCTCGTGCTGACCAGTTTTAGTTGTCAGGAGTGGACATGTAGCACTGCGGCGCTCCATTCACCGTTGTTTCCGGCGCCGCACGGCCTTTCACACGTTAGCCGTGAGCATGGCGTCGAAGCCGTCACGCCACGGGCCTTTTTCTACCGGCGTGTTTCCCGTTTCCAGAGAGCACAGTTGCAGCGCGGCGTGAAGCCCAGACAGCGAGCGGACACTCCACGGAACAGCTGCGCGGCCGGGCCTCCTCCACGGAAGGGCTGCGCGGCCGGGGCTCCTCCACGGAACAGCTGCGCGGTCGGGGCTCATCTACGGAACGGCTGCACAGACAGGGCTCCTCCACGGAACGGCTGCATGGCCGGGGCTCCCCCACGGAACCGCTGCAGGGACGGAGCTCCTCCACGGAACAGCTGCGCGGCTCGTGCTGACCAGTTTCAGTTGTCAGGAGTGGACATGTAGCACTGCGGCGCTCCATTCACCGCTCCAGCCGTTCCTCTACGGAACGGCTCCACGGACAGGGCTCCTCCACGGAACGACTGCACGGCCGGGGCTCCTCCATGGAACAGCTGCGCGGCCAGTGCTCCTCTACGGAACGGCCGCACAGACGGGGCTTCTCCACAGAACGGCTGTACGGGCGGAGCTCCTCCACGGAACGGATGCACGGCCGGGGCTCCTCCACAGAGCGGCGGCAGAGCGTAGAGCATGTGGCACGGACGCAGAGCAGTCGGCGGTGCAGTCGACGGGCCCGCTAGCTGAGAGCGGACCGCTGTCGCCATCAGAGCAGCTGCCTCGTGAAGGGGGGGGGGGGGGAGCAGCAGACTATCCAGCAGAGCGAAGACGGCGCCAGCCCAGAGCGGACAAACGTGGTGCGCGACGGTCGTGACGCGCTGGGCGGTCCGCGCTAGGGAGAGGGGGAGGCGGGGGGGACGGGGACGCTCTTCACTCCCGACTCGCAGTGAAGCTTATGCTGGGAGGGCGAGAACATCTAATCGTTCACAGCGACCGTAACTCGTTAATGGAATGTACTCTTTCAAATAAACGATACCCTGCCAGACACGCATTCGTTTGCGTAAAAGTTTTTTTTTCAAAGAATGGTGCATTATAGGCTTCATTGGAATACAAGTATCGCGAACCCAAGCCGAGCGCCATCAATACTTCCGACGCAGAGGCATTCTCGCAAGCAGTAATGATGATGACTGGGGGTTCCTGCCGACGGTTAATGCCATTTTGCACCCATTTAAGTAGCGTCAAAGGTAGGTCGCCACTTCAAAAAAACGCCCATCAGCTTCATGCCCTTTATATAGCATATGCAAAACACACGTTTGATAAAACACCGTGCGAGTGACAACGGGCCTCGGTTAGCCGACGCCACCCAGCAGAGAGCCTGCCAACGGTTGGCGAGCATACGCAATGGATAACTGAACAGAACAGTAACACGGAAGACGAGGTACAACCGCACCGCACCTGACTTACGGACTTGTTCTGAGCTCCGGCCCAGTAGTAGAAAACAGAAAGCACGTGTCCGTTCTTGAGCGTTGCTGGATAATCCTCACCTTGTTAGGTACTGATTTGTGCCCGTACTGAATATCGTCACAACCCGACACCAGTCTGCACCGCCCCAATCGCCCGTCTCTTTGGCACCCGGGGCAGCACTGCGTCCACCCATTATGAACCTAATAGTTGATAATTCTAGCCTAGGCTCTGGTCTCCATAGGCTGTTTCACACTCGGCTTTGTCAACGCGGCGGGACAAATAGAACAATATGCTGCCGCCACCTTCCGTCCCATCAATTAACTATACCTATACGCCACAGACAGCATGGACGCCATCGCAACACTTATGCCATACTATAGACAAATGTCTCTGGGGTACCACAAAGAGGAACATAACTCAGATCTATCAGTAAATAAATGCGGTAATCTACGGGTATTATTGCGAGACCGTCTTAACCAGCCACTGCGACTAAGCAATGGACGTTTGTCGGCGTGAGTCACGACCAGCGGCAGCATTTCCCTGGTCAAACCGGTACTTGGTCCGACCGATACACGAATGGCACACTGAGAAGTCGGAGCGGAGGGGAATCGACAAGCACATGAAACTCAGGCTTAGACATTACATGTGCGTGACATCATGTCCACCGGCCGACGGTCTGCCCCGGCTCGAAAACAGCGGTCATCACCAGTACGTGACCCTGCAGCGAAAAGAAAGCGAGCGGCCACCACTTCCTGGACATCCGATGACTAGCTTTCACAGAGTTTGCATATCTCAGAAAGACGAAAACACCGTACGCCTTATGGTTAACATGAGAGTTGTGCTGCGTTCACAAGACCAACCAACGAGACGGACTAGTGGCCGGCACAGCTGTGCAAACTGTGCTCTGCCAGTCACGACCGAAGTTGTGTCAAAGCGACTATAGCTGACACGCGCATCAGCCCCTCACCCCTCCGCCTCGTCTTTTTTGGGACCCGACGTGTCGTTTCCGTATCCCCGATCAGCTGCGTTGTGATCCACAAGTGCGTTCGGTTGCAAGCCGTGAAGCAGAGCGGCGGGCGACCATCTCCAGCCTCCCACCGCTCGTGCGGAGATCAACACTGTGACCGGGTCTGCACGGTAAACGCCGACCACACCAACTCCATGAGGCAGCAGCTCAAACAGAGCCACGTGGCCGGAGCGCACGCGGCGGCGGCGGCCACGCTGGCGGTCGCCGTGAGCTGCGTGGCGGGCGCTCCTGGCGGCCTGTGTCCCGGGGCAAGCGCCGTCGCGCGGTCCGAGCCGCCCGTGTCGTCACAGCTTGACGCTGAACGAGCTGCAACCGGAGGCGACGCGCTCACGCAGCCGTCGACACACGGCCGGCTGGACATCGCGGAGCCCCAGACAGTCTGAAGGTGTCGGAACCAGGCGCATTCGCGTCCAGTCGGCGCTGGTGCCGTCAGCAATAACCAGCCAATCGAACGTGAACACAGCTTCTTACTGCCCATCAGCGGATGTAAGGGATTTACGGCGGCCACGACCTACAAGTATGAGCGTGGGTGACGAAACTTATGACGCGCGTATGACAAGTACGACGCACGCCGAAAAGGATAAAAGGGAAACAGGAAAAAAAAGGAAGGCGCGAAACAAGCAGACACGGACAAAGCGTGGACACCCGCGACTAGCACACCGGAACTGTACGTGCAGGCGTGAGCCACTCACTCAGTGAAGTCGGGACACTTAGAGATGATGTGCTCAAACTCAGCGAACGACAGCATGCCGTCGTCGTCCAGGTCAGACTCGTTGTTGATGTTCTGGATCAGGTGCTGTCGACCAGGCCCCAGTGAAGCGGACATACCGGCGTACAAAGCTAGAGGACGACAAGCAACGCAACGCCGGCAGCGGCGCCAGTTTGACCAAGGCGAGATCTTTATAACTGGTAACGAAGCTGCTCACGGGTAAGCACATCAACCAGGGTAACACGTGTACTTTACATTACAGCTTTGCATTGCTGGGAACATGACAATGAGCAAAATGGAAGTCAAAATTCAAGCAATACGGAACTCAACAAAGCAGGAGACTCCCAAAACTGTACCATACGCGGATAATGATTAAAAAGGTTGCACACTGGCCGCGGAACATAAATCAGGGTAGACTGAAGGCCAAGAGGCCAAATTTGATCAGTTGAAGCTTCTAAGCAGACACAAAGTACTTAGACAACACTAAGACTAACACAAGGGTAAGGCAAGCAAATTACGCAGCATTCATGTCAGCACGTCCTTCTCACCAACACGTCTCCCCCTCCCCCCCCCCCCCCCTCCCTATCCCATAGATCACAGCCATCCATGCACTATGCTTGCATCACAAGGACAGGGCTCAACCACAACAACTTCAACCACAAACTCACTGACAACCACACCACAAACTCACTGACACCCAGCACTACTACATCCATACCCTGCCACCACAGCCCTGGCCATGCCACCATACTCCTGACCCAGCACACTCCATCATGACCCCCACCATCATCTCCATCTCGGTCATGCGCTGCGGCGCTGTCAGCCGGTTGATGAGCTCGCGCAGGTCCTCGCGGCCGATCATGTCGTCGTCGTCGAAGTCGAAGATGCGGAAGGCGTATTCGGACTTGACCGTCTTCGGCGCGTGGACGCTCAGCACAGACATCATGTCCAGGAAGTCCTCGAAGGAGCAGGCGCCGTCCTGGGTAGAGCTGAACACCTGCCCAGTTCAACGCGCGTCTTGGTCAACTACAAAACTATCAGTGACACACTGCACGGTTCAGATCTCTGCGTTCCCCCGCTCTTCAGTGGTACCTGGTAGCGAGAACCGACACGGACAGAGCATTGGTTAGATCACAACCTTTAACACCTTGTCATATAGCCCCCACCATTATGTACCATTGGCTCAACACATACAACCCTGTAAGTGCGAGCAACAGTCACAAAGAGCAATGGCTTCCAACCAGCTTCTCGACAGGTTACGTTCCTCCAGCTAAAAAAAGAAAAAACTTGAATACAATGGAGACCAAAGGTTGCTTCTAATCCCTGACCTGGCCATCCGGATTCAAACGTGTGCAAGTTACATGGGAAATACAAATCCAACTCTCTCAGCACATGATCAAAAGATGATCAAGCCTGCAAAGGCAACAAAACAAACAAAAACAATCAAAATGGCACAGCAAGCTGCTAGCACAGCTCACACCGGCAGTTCTCCTTGAAAATTCGGATCACGGCGGCGGCGCCAATGGGTGCACCACGGTGGCTTGCCCAACTTCAAATAAGTCTGCATAGCCCATGCCTGGATGGCATGGCAGGTGCCCTCGCTGTCGAGTATCGACTGAGGCCGCAAGACCTTCACGTGTGGATGCAGCCCACAACCGACAAACCGCTGCACCTTGCAAATGCGGTCACCGAAGGGGTTGGCACGCAGCTCCGGGTAGTTGAGCATGACAGTCATCTCCAGCCGGGCGTTCCTGTTCTCCGCGATGATATCCGGCGCCAGCGCCTTGAATTTCTTGTGAGCCCTGAGGAGAAGGTGAAGACTAATGATGCTTTAAAAAGATTTGTGAGCCCTGACCCTACAAGTTGATCATGCAGTTCCAGGTCATGGCTGAATTTGGTGGTGAAATCTTAGTGTGCTGCAATGCTTGGCAAGGTCTGTCCTACCCTCTGACATCTTCTAACTTTTCGAGTGGTCCCTGCCACCAATCAGCAGCCATACCTGTCAAGGACACATAGCAAGCACCTAAACTGACTGGAGCTCACGTCACCAGAGGTGGGTGGAGATTGGAAGACAGGCATTCTAACCAGCTGAGCTGTCAGGATGGACATGAAGTTTTGTGATGGCAGTGAACTTGAAACTGTCCCTGCCAACTGTTTCATTTCTGCCTGGCAGAACCCAAGCTTTTATCAATACAAAATGCATTACCACACCCATCTCTATCAAAGGTAACTAACTTTGACATGTTTCACTGGGAAGCTGCCACATGATTTTACTTTAAATAATTATTTCCCTTTTATAAATCAGCAGAGAAAAGGGTAGAAGTAAATACATTATCAGTATACAATATGCCTGGCACTATGTTGATTCCCTAAGCACTATATCTTACACAATTATTTCATGTCTGGTAAAGTATGTGAGATCCTGGTAGTCTTCAATTTCATCTTCTGTGAGGAAGTCTTCTTGTTGCTTGCTGGCACCATGACCCATAGTCTATCTGTAGACAAGACATGATTTCAAACCTTCCTGGAATGTAACACTGGCTGGATCCATCAGCAATCAGATAATGAAACAGGAAAGGCATAAAAATCCATACAACATCTATGAAAGTCACAAACATGGCATTAAGTCTGCTGCCACCTGATGACATCAACATGAGCTACTGGGAGCACCTACCTGTAAAGACATTAGCACTGATAAGTGGCAAATGTTCAAATCTGTCATTCATAAGTTTCATATTGCCAACACACAATTCAAAATGATCAGAAGCTATAATATTTATAGTTCACAAGGCCAAGCAATTTTTATTTCCTTGAGTTGTTACATGAGGGTGGAGCAGGCTAACAAGTACAAGGAACTACCATACCATAACACCATTTAGTGCACAACTGTAGAGAGAAAGTAGCATGCCATAGCATGAAAAAATTATGTATAACAGAAAAATACCTGAAGGAGAAATATTAGAGATGACCAGGGAAAAATACTACCTCACCACAAATGGCATTAACTGAAAATGAATTGTTGTTTGAAGGTAAGCCACATGTACACTTCATAAAACATGTCATTATTTCAGGTACATGACTGTGCTTGTTTGTACACAAACATTCAATGCTGGCTTAATCACAGCTCCTGTAAGTCTCATTTATTGCCAATTGGGGCAGCTCAAAACTGTCCATAAACAAACATGCTGATGCGCCCAGCTTGCAAGCATTTCAATTCAAAGGAAAATATTGGGATCTATGCATAAATGGAAAGTTAAGTCTCCACTAGCACACAAAAAGCTATTGATACATGAACAATCTGGCTGCCACATGGCACACATCATTTTTCTTAACTGCTGCAACAAACTTTCAATGTTACACCAGATATTCTCCTATAACACTAAACTTAAATAACATCAGAGGTGTGATACAAGGCCATGTATAATGAGTTACCAAACTGTTGGGGTCAAACCTCTCAAATGGTAAATGGTTACGAGCAAGGCCCTACAACATTACGACAGGTAAAGCTTAGATGGAAGGCCTCGTTTTGGTATCGCAGGCGTGGGCCTGGCGCTCAATAAAATGGTCCGTATCAGCTGACTAGGGCGTAAACCATACATAATGATACAGGTACAAGCGCCCAACATTTAAGAACTCCTCCAAAGGCTTTGTATACCCCTATATTCCATATAATGCGAATAAATGGCGTCTCCCTCACACCTGTTCCCATCAAAGCGGTGAATAAAACCAAGGTGCGAACGCTGTCAGCTGATGAGAATGGTAGCCCAACCAGCTGATTGTACGATGATGTCACAAAGCAAGAACAGTCACTGCCATCCTGGCCAGAGCCATCTCGCTTTCCTTATTGGCAAAGTGTCCACTTGAGTTGCTACCTAGTGCATTGCGAGTACTTACGTCATACATATGCAGCCATTCTCCAAGCTGTAGGAGCTGTCATGACACACTTATCTCTGACGTCATAGGTTGCAATTTGTGGACAGCTGTTGGTGATGGGAAACGCGGCCTTGGCGGAACTTTGCGAATCCAAGCTCGGAAAGTCAATGCTGGCGTCCCCTGTTCTAGGGCCTCGCCGACGTCCGAGTGCCTGCGTTCCGTCGTGCGGCGGTCGCTAGCAGGAGGACGGCAAATTGTGAGTGAAAGTTGTGTGCTGTAGGAATAGATCCATGCCTCACTTTGCATGAGACCTGAGATGAACATGAAATACTAAGGCCGGATGGCAGCGAGCGTGACTGATTAGGAATAGGCCAGCATATAGACAGGGCAGGACGGGACTCAGCTAAATCGGACGAGACTGAGACAGAATGAGGCCGGGTGAGCAAGACGAGACCGTGCGGATTCAGAGATGGCCAGACGGGACCAGGCATAACCAAACGGGGTCAAATGGGATCCGAGGGCACTACACATGACTGCAAGGAACCGCACGAGACGGAACGGGGCCTGGAGGAACGAGAGAGAACTTGATAAGGCCAAACGGAAACGAACGGGACAAAACTAAAAGGTACTAAACCAGGCCGGAGGGGAACGAGCAGGACTGGACCAAACGAGACTGGACCACGCCGGATGGGACCAGACAAGATCGGCCAGCATTAAGTGATCGAAAGAAATCGAATAGACAGACCCGAGACCGGACCAGAAAGAACCAGATGCCACGTCATGATGGAGATGGAACCGGGAGGGAATAGACCAAATTTGGTGCGACCGGGCAGGACCAGACCAAACGAGCCTGGATGGATCCGGAAGGACCTGACCGGACAGCACCGGACCAGACGGGACCGGACGTGACCAGATGGGACCGGACGGGACGATACGCGACCGGACGGGAGCAGGTAGTATTGAACGACGCCACACGTGACCAGACGGGACCGGACGTGACCAGATGGGACCGGACGGGACGACACGTGACCGGACGGGAGCAGGTAGTATTGAGCGACGCCACACGTGACCAGATGGGACCGGACGCCACAGAGCGAGGTGACACAGAACAGGGTGGAATGCGATGAAGCCAGACGGGGCCGGATGGAGTCTGATGGGACTAGACTGGATTGGAGGGCATTAGATGGAACTGGACAGAAGTTTATGTGACTGGATGGCACCAGACGAGGCCTGAAACTGGGAGGGACTAGAGGGATCTCGACGGGACCAGACAGGACTTGACGCGATGGGGCGGGATCGCACGGCAAGAGGTGCGACCACGAGAGACGGGAAGGGACAGGACGGTGCCGGACGGAACCAAAACGGGACCGTTCTGGACAAGAATGAGCTTGTCTGGTATTATCTGATTCTGTATGGTCTCATCTGGCTTCTGATCATGGTCTGGTACTGGTTTTGACTCTGGTTCTGGTCTCACCTCGTGTGGTTCTATCCGGTTCCATCTAGAATCATCCGGTCCCGCCTTGTTCAGGCTTGTAGGGCCTGCGTATTTTTCACAAATGCAATTTAATGCGATATATTTTGATTTTTTAAGCCATCCGTAATACCTTTTTAGATTTTTGAGTATGCATATACTTCTATTTCCTTAGGCATCAGTTCCTGCCCGTCAAAGCTCATTCTATTCTGTCGAGGACTAATTCTGGCCTATTTAGGATTCATTTGGACCAAAAGAGGGTATATCTGAGCCTGTAGGGACCCAATCTGATCTAAGGGCGGTCTTTTATTGACTGGAGGGCCCATTCTCACCTTTAGATAACCTGTCTTGGTCCCTAGAGAACCCGTTCTGGCTTGTAGAGGACACATTATTACCTGTAGAGAACTTCTTATGACCTGTAGAACATCCGTTATTGACTGCCGAGAGCCATTCTGGCCTGTACATGGCTCATTCTGACCTGAAGAGGGGTCCATTCAGGCTGGTGGAGGCCCCATTATTGTCTGAAGTTCTCGCCATTCTGGCGAGAACTTCAAACAATATGGCGTTCTCCCTATCGCCCGGCGCATGCGATTCATGAAAGGCGGTCATATACGGGGCTGCATTTGCCAAAGAGCAGCATTATCGCAGGGTGTGGAAGATCAGGCGAACATGATCTGCTAATGGGAATCTCCTAGATGTGAACATGTTGAAGCAGGTATCAGATGTAATGAAATAAGGCCTCTTGTTACTATTGGTATGCTTTTAAGTGGGAAAAGCTGCTCTAGACAACACAACTAAACAGGGTTCTCCAAAGCGTCATTACTTAATTACATCATCGTACCTGGCACAACACTGATTGGGACAATTAACGGGTGCTTTATCTGGAAATCGTGCCCATGAACGTCAGCTATGAACGACTTGACAGTGTTTTTTTTTTGCACCGAGTGACAGTGTTTTGCACAGAGAGTGTTTTTGACATTGTTTTTACTAGTCGTAAGCTCATATCGTGCAACGTGCTTGCTTGCTTCAACACATTCAAATGTGGGGCGCTCCGTTTAAATAACATGTTTGACCACGTGCGTGGACGTTGACTTTCATGCAACTCGAGCACGCCACTAGATATTCTTCGTTACTCCCCTTTTAATTTCAGATGGCGCCACGCTTCGAACTGGTTCACACTATTTCCATCGATGGAACGAATCGCTCCTCGAACAGTGTTTGAAGCAACTTTTGGCACTTGGCTTCCCTGATAATATCCATAAGGTTTTTGTGCGCCCATATATTATTTCCCTTTTGTCTGCCCATTTTGGGTACCCATCACTGTTGTCTCTTTTAGTGGGTCAATAGCATGCCCTTAGTTCCATCCATCCGTGACGGCGTGGGTTCGAATCCCTTCACACCCCGTTATTTATGCACCACTGGGCGGCCTGTGAACGCTGGCAGCGGTCATGCTAAATGCAAAGTGACGCCAGATGACAGGTGGACCGCGCCGCGTTTTGCAGCACGTTAAGCTTTCGCCGCGAATTCTGTCGTTGACGCGGAATTTCATGATTAGTTGGGTGGTGGTGGGAAGTGGGACATGTGTGGGAGCGTGGGGTGGGGGAGGGGGGTCAGGGATCACGGTATAGGCCCTTATCAAGATAATATCAAATAAGCAAAATCAGATGAGATATAATAACAGCTTTCCCCGAAATCAGCAGGATCAAATTCATTTTGCAGTCCACCGAGAGACATGCTTTTCCAACGTGAACCCTACAATCAGGACGGAAAGCATGCATTTGACGCGTGAACTCAACAATCTAGTCGAAAAAAAAAATATGCTGCCGAGCAGTCGTGCAGCCAGCAAACTTCGGCGCCGGCCGCTGAGTGCAGCAAGCTTTGGCGCCTGCCATTGAGTGCAGCAAGCTTTGGCGCCGGCCGTTGAGTGCAGCAAGCTTTGGCGCCGGCCGCTGAGTGCAGCAAGCTTTGGCGCCGGCCGCTGAGTGCAACAATTTCAACCAGCAATATTCAAAAACTGCATCCGACCGCATCTCCGCGCCACACTGGTTCCCTGTTTCCGCGCCCCCACCACCCTTTTCCTTCGGGTCCCTTGTCTCTCTGTACCATTTTACTTTCCCCCTCCCCTCTCTATTTCACCCGTCTTTCTCCTTTCTTCCAATGCTCTCTATCTCCCCTCTTTCTTCATCCCCCTCCCTTCCTCATCTTTCCTCTTTCCCGCTTTTCCCTCTCTCCCCTGTTGCCTTTCTATCACAATCATCAACCTCGTCATCTCACTCTTCCCGTCTTTTCCTCCTATCCGCCTTTCTCTCCCCCGATCCCTCGACCCTCGTCAGACTCCCTCCTATCTCTCTCTCTCTCTCTCTCTCTCTCTCTCTCTCTCTCTCTCTCTCTCTCTCTCTCTCTCTCTCTCTCTCTCTCTCTCTCTCTCTCTCTCTCTCTCTCTCCTCTCTCTCTCTCTCTCTCTCTCTCTCTCTCTCTCTCTCTCTCTCTCTCTCTCTCTCTCTCTCTCTCTCTCTCTCTCTCTCTCTCTCTCTCTCTCTCTCTCTCTCTCTCTCTCTCTCTCTCTCTCTCTCTCTCTCTCTCTCTCTCTCTCTCTCTCTCTCTCTCTCTCTCTCTCTCTCTCTCTCTCTCTCTCTCTCTCTCTCTCTCTCTCTCTCCTCTCTCTCTCTCTCTCTCTCTCTCTCTCCCTCCTCTCTCTCCCTGACCCTCAGCCTCGCAAGCCCCTCCCCTCTCTTCCTCCCGTCTCTCTGTGAGCCTCGGCCTCGCAAGCCCCTCCCTCTCTCCATCCCGTCTCTCTCCCTGACCCTCAGCCACCTCAGCCCCTCCCCTCTCTCTGATCACGCAGCGGCTCAAGCACGGCCGCTGCTGAACGACTGCCTGGGGCCCCAGCTGCACGGGTCGACGGCCTGCAGAAGCACGGCGCCCGTCGCCGGTCGCCGGAGATGCGCCGCGAGACGCTGCACCGGTGGCTTAGCCCAGCACGAGCGCTAGTGTCTAGCTGGAGACGCCGCCACCCTGGCGCACAACCGTACAGGTCAGTACACGTGTGTTAACGTATAGGAAAGCATATTATGCGTATCACTGCGATTGCGCGGGTGTCATAAGCATCACAGGGCAGGCCTGAGGTGCCGTTTTTGACGAAGTATGCAACATACGCCATGTCTGAAATTATCATGGGCAAGATATTTAGTCGAACAGTTATAGCCATTCACCCATAGGGTCTTAATCAACGCATATTCTTTGAAACCGTTGGCGTAATAGACCCCTTTGACACTGCGCACTGGGGCACAAGGTTGCATTTTCATTTCTCACATCTTTGCTTGCTTGCGTGGCGTTTCCCAA